AAGCATACTGCTTTCAAGCAACAAATCCCGCAGTGAAGTCATTTTCTATCTCAGCAGCCCCTTTAATTTCCAGCGGCGGTCGAGCGCATTTGCCTCGCATCTGATAGACGCATTATTTCCAACTGACAAACAAAAGAAACAATAGCGGTGGGCCAACCGCTACTTATCTTATATAATTAACAAGTCTTAACAATATGAGTGATGTAGTTTATCTGTTTGAAGAAGCTTTTAAGATTTATAAAAATCCTAGCTCACTATTAACAGTACTCAGGGTAAAGTTTGATGAACTATACTCGTATGTGTTCACTTAGAGTATTACAAATATCTCTGAAAGAATCATGTCCATAAACGGTTTTGTTAATGCACCAATGCTAACAGTTTGTATTTGCACGCAAATAAACAAGTAATAACGTACTTTCACTCTGTGAGAAGTTAATTATGAGTAAGTGTTTCTGTTGTTACGATAGGATTACTTTCCCAAACCCGTGAGTTCTGGCTAGCTCACCGGTTCTGCGTCAGATGAAGCTTTAATAGTCTCGGGACTGAAAGCAAAAACATCAGTTAATAAAAGATACAAGAAGGATTACTTTGCTTTTCATAATAATACGTCCACCGTTATTAAAAAAATAATCAAGTATAGAAATTAATTTCAAAATTAAAAAGAAAGAAACACATTAAAAATACTTGTAACAATACCAATAACATAGGTCTTATTCCAATAAGCAGGTAATTTATTATTTTTTGTGAAAACATTAAAGGATTACATTTTAATAAAAACAATCAATGATAAACAGATTGCGCCAATTATTGGCGCCTTGTTTATGATGGTCATCGATATATCTTTGTATGTTTGAATGTAAAAGTACAATTGTATGTAAATATCCATATAGAACGCTATAACTACAGCAATAGTTCTATCCAGATCCAAGTGAAAATATAACATCACTTGGGCAAGATGTTTAATGCTCTAGCTGAGCTTTAATCGCCGGGATAGCAAGGTACTTACTTACGGACAAGTTGATGCAAACTAGGTCTCGTCAAAGTTTAGTCCAATCAGACCCCATTGAGTGTAACGATCGTGGAGCCCATTATTATTATTATTATTATTGTAACAACAATTCATGGAGCGATCATCTCTACACAAAACACGATTTACATATTTCCGAGGGTACGCATTGTGTTCGGAGAAAGAAGCGAGCCCACGCGCGTGAGTTGACACTAGAGATTAGCTCTCAAATTACGTGACATCGACCCTTCCTGGGTGTTCATTCATTACGAGGGATTTATTTAATGTACAATTTCATTTTAGGGTTGTTCGAATAGTTAGAATTGTATTGAGTCCAGCCGCCGGGGATTATATTACAATTATTTAAATTCATAGAGGGCTTGCGTCGGTTAGATAAAGGTACACGTCATGGAGTTTATATTTATTGGTAATAAATACAATCCCGTAATATCCCGTATTACCCGACTAATGAATTACTGGCAACATAGGACATTTTTTTTCGTAAAGCTCACTGCTTCTCTTGCCCTAATTTTACAGACACGTTATAAAATAAAAGAGAAGCAGTGAGGAGCGGTAGGAGCACGGTAGAGCATACAGCACACAATTGGGCATAAAACGGTAATTTCCGAAGACCCAAAAACGGAATGCTCATCAGCGCTCGACTCTGGAATTGGTACCCACGACCACGAGATAGATCGCGTGAAGTCTACTCTCAGCCACGGCGCAACCGCCGTTCTTGACCACTTCAATTTAACCTAATAAAATGTACACGAACAAACGTGCTCAATTTGGGGCTGAGGACGCTTTATTGGCCACCTGGACTATATCATTCAATTAGTCGACCAGCCTGCCGAGTCACCGATAATGGGAAGGACACGCAGCATTGCATTCCCTCCGCCCACTCACTCACCACCACACAGAAAATTCTAATATTAACCTTTGCTACTATTTAAAAGGCACAAAACATGCAACTATGTACAGCAGTGGTCTCTAATAGACTGATATTTTGATGACGATGAAATCATTTAGTGCTTTAATAGATAAATTGTTCGAAATCAGTGCTTATCGAGAAGTCAACGACATATAATTATGTATACAACGCGAAAACTGTATAGTGAACACAGTAGTAACTATCATAATTAAACTTGAAAGACATGGGGGCCTGATGAGTCTTTTGTACTTATAGAAATATTCTTATCTCTTTGTTAAAAATATTTTGTAATGCTGTTTCTCATTTACTCTTATGAAACTGACGCAGTAAGAGGACATTGTAATCTTACTTGATCAGGATTAACGAAGCACGCCTTTTGTTGACGCAAGGAAATTACCTCAACTTAATGACATACTTTGCATGAAGATTATAAGACTTGTGAGCATAGTAAATGTTGCACAATCTTTAAATGTTGTGTCAGTGTTATCAAACATAAAGAGGTAATTGCATAATTAGAGACATTATATATATTAATATTTCAACAATGACATGGTTGTAAAAAAATAAGGGCTCGTGTTGGAAAAGTCAACGGTAATAAAAGTTATTTATAAAACACTAGCTGACCCGGCGGACTTCGTACCACCTTAGAATCGAGCCTTCTTAACACGTCCAATTTATTTTTTCGTTCGCACGTATTGTGGTGATACATGGTTTTATGCCGCCTTGAGTCTACTAATTTAGTGACACGCAATTGTGTGTCATGGACTTGTAGGTGAAAAATTATAAAAATCTTGTGTTACCTGTGGGTAAAAGGGATTCACTACAGCCACCTGATTACCGACATTATAGATCTAAAGGTTACCGAATGTAACTTGTATGCCTCACAACAACTGGCAAATCCTGTTTTGAAAGATAATGCTCGTATAAAGCGCTGTGAAAATTCATTGGCGTGTACTTGCTAAAAGGAGTTAGTTATTGGAAGAAGGATGGCTTGGTATTACCACCCACTATTCCTCAACGTCTCAATGTCATATAGGAGATTTGCTCTTCTGTTGAAATGCTGGCACTTTGTTCACAACCAGAATCACGGTGGTGGGAGGCAAATCTGCAACATCATTACCTTCATCTATCAATAGAAATTCAGCCGTAGGGCTTCATAAAGTGATAAAATTAGATAGGCAGCTTAACGGAACAATCTATAGAAAAGGTGCGGAGGTTGCTACAAAAAACTGAAAATGAATCTCATTAGAAAAATATTTCTCATAAATACTGTTTTTAGGTTCAGTTGTCCAAGTTACATAAGTTCTGAATAAATAAAAAAAATCGATGGCTCATTGTTTTTTTTATTTTACATTTATAATGGCTTATACGTAGAATATAAGTAAGTTTCCGTAACGTCCATGTAGTAGGAACCTTTTTTTTTTTGGTATTGGGGGGAAATCTTCAAAATATACCCTGTCATGATATGACAGGGTTATGTGGGGTTCGACCCACTAAAACCCCCTTGGTGGCACGAGACCACTTCGTGCTGCTGCCAATCCGTGTCCTCTTTTAGTCACCTTATATGACAGGCAGGGGACACTTTAGCTCTATTCTATGAGCCCAAGACTACAGGGATATGTAATAGGAACCTAGGAACCCATTATGTTTCAAGGGAGCAATGCCCCACATGAATGGCATGGACGTCTTGTTAAAACCCATAATGACTCACATGTGGGTCATAGACAGTTATCGTGTTAAGCCGCAAAAAATCTTGGAAAGCTTCGGTAGATGGATCATTTACAAAGCAACTTGGTATGTTTGTTGTAAGTAAAATGTTCCTTACATAGTGCTACAGAGTCGATAATTTGAAGCACACATTTACTTTATCGGCAGTGGACAAAGTTTAGGAAATCACGAGGCAGTAGAATCGGGATCCCGCATGAACAGTGACCAGAATCAATGACACGAGGAATGTCTTCAAACACAGGTTGTATGGAGGAAAATTTAACTCTGAGATCAAGTCATTTGGTAACATATAATGGCAATCTCATGTTGCCATAAGACACACATTCCACAATCCAGCTTTCTCCAGGAAACTTCAACGCATCATAATGGACACAACCTTTATAGGATTAATCCAAACAAATGATTTGTGCTGTATTGTTCTAGTCATTTGCGCAACTGTATGGCAACGCGTCTTGATTCAAATTAACATTTAAAGTTTTTCTCTTCTGCGTCCAAGATTATCGTATTGTTGATCTATGCAATTAGCTTGACAATCCTATTCTTTGTTCTAGTGTTTGTAAAGCTCAAAGTTGGGCTATATTGATGGGTCAATACAAGCAATTCAATACTCTGAAGTCTAATTGCATTATAGCTTCAATGAGCAAAATTAGAACTTGTGGCTCGCAATATTGTAATTATCACAGGAAAATTTATCACATAATTCAAAACTACATAATGAAGAATGAATTCATCACATAAACTGGACAACAAATCAAAGGCAACTCTTATAAGCACATAACTAAACTACATAACCCTTCACAATTTTCACTTTGTCAAATTAAATTCACCCCTTTGAAATCACTTTTCACAGCCCAATTTCAGAGAAATTGTTTCAAAAGAATAATTTAAATTGACCTATAATAATGGGCAAAAACTGAATGAAACTTTACAATACATCATGTTGTATGTCTAGTGTTGTATGCTAGCTCAATAGTATACAAATAATTGACCTAGTGGCCCTACCACAGTTAGACATAACCATCATACAATGCCATGTTAATTTTTGTCCGTGTTTTAATATATGTACTGATTAAAAGCAAGTGCCCCGCTATAAAAGTAAGCAGCTCTAGTTTTTATTTTTTGAAAGTTATTTTCCTCAAAATTTATATGTTTATTACTTTGAACTATATTTATCTCACATAAACTGACCGATAAAACAAAACATTTTTGAAATTTCTTATTAACAACATTTTAATAAAATTCTTATAGGAAAGGATCTACAAAATTATGTAACATTCTGAATGGCATGGGGAATAAAAAATTTTTAGTAAGACATTAAAAATTTGTATTACTCACCAGCTATTGTATATCTATCCATATAATTGATTAGATTTACGAAACAAAGTATTCCAACAGTCATGTATTCTATGAAGGTGACATCTCCTAAATTTTCTCTTCTTCTAGCTTGCTTTTCTTGTAGCAGTGCTGTTGCAGAATCATTATCGCTGTTGTTAACTAGCTGCTGATTTGATGTGTTTGGAGTAATACTGCTCTGGTCCATGATGCCCGCACTAATTTCACCAAAATGCAAAGATACTACTTTTCTGTTCAAACGAAACGATTCAGTACGCCGAAATATTTTGAGTCCTCAAAAATTATATTATGCAATATCAACTCATTAGTATAAAAAGATCACAACACGAGAATAAAATTATTTGGCCACGACCCACCAAGTTTAAAAGTTTTTAAAATACGTTTACTTTTCGAGAGCTCATAAAAGTACTCTCACGTTGCACAGCAAAGCGTAACAAGGCGAAATGATAACTGGCAAAAGTGAGAAGTAACAACTCACTGACAAGCACAGACTAACTAGAGATGCTGACAAGTGACATTCAGATTCGTTTGTATTTAACTACTTGTAAGCCGTTTTTGATATCTGTTAAGATACCTATGGTAATATTATTAATTATTAATAAAAAACAAAAGTATAACAGTTTGCACTACCTGTTACATATTATAATTTATTTACTTTTTTTTTTTCAATGAATGTAGTAATTCTATGATAATAAAAGTTGTTGTGAATAATATAATTTTACGATAATAGCTTTTACACATTCATTCAACCTTCGCTGGAAAAGTGCTCGGGTAGATTATTTACAGACTGACTTAGAACTCCACGACCCTTGTTGAAAATCGACAAAAACAGAACCACGAAACAGAGAAAATAGTGGAAACGGTTGCTCGACGTTAGATATCTTGAACGTAATGTACATTCACAAATCTCAATATTAGTATATCCACGTACCTGATTTTGTCTGATTCGGAGAATGATTATAGATTTTCGTTTTTCAAAAATTGATAAAAAAATTGTTCCATGTAGCCATATTTTTAGACCCACGGGTCAAAGGAATAAAATAAAACTGATTACAATTTTTGCAAATTAAGTAAATCTCACAGCAGTTACAAAAAGAACTTAGAATAAACCAATGGTTTTTAGATACGAAAACTCATTTCACGTTATAAAAATTATTATCATTTAACCACATAAGTATGTTCATTTGCATATGTATATGTCAGAAAAAAGATAATCAAGAGAGCCAAGATCCACTAAAGTATTGGCAGATTAACAGTAAAAAGTTTGGAGGTCTCAGTCATATTGCTCGCACATATTTATCTTTTATCATGACTTTTGGGAGTAAAGCTACCAAGTTACTCTTTTTGGAGTACAATTTACCGTTCCTTTAATTTTCAACGTGTTTTCAATCTAAAGTTAGCACTTTGAGTGTCACAGTGTATTATTTTACTTAATTAGAATCTTATCTTATCCTTTAAACGAGCAATTCTTGTATGTGTATATATATATATATATATATATAATCGGAATCTCGGAAACGGCTCCAGCGATTTTCATGAAATTTAGTATGTGCGTAGATTCGGGGGCGAAAAATCGATCTAGCTAGGTTTCATTTTTAGAAAATGTCGTTTTATCGCAGTTTTCAGGGAATGAAAAACATCATTCGAATACGACGGTAAATTTCACCGAAAAAAATTTTTTTACTTTTTTTTCGATACCCGATCATTGCTTTCTTTATTTTTATTTTTTGTCAATTTGTTGTTTTTTTCCCTTTTTTTAAAGTTCTTTCTTTTGTGAAAAACAACAGTTCATGAAACAACAGTTCATATTTTCTTATTATTACGTCGGTAAGATCGAAAACGAAACCGTTCCTCCAGGTACTTATCATTTAATTACGATAACGGGTCGGAGTCGGTTGAGTCGAGTCGAATGTCGATTTGGGATGCAGAAAGTCAAGAAATATATCGATGTTTATAAAAATATCAATATCGGTCTGGATATATTGAAAAAAAATAATATCGATATATCGGTCAAATTTTCGGTTTTAAAAAAATTATGTATTTTGATTCAATAGTATTTTTTATACTAAATCAACATATTTCAATGTATTAGAAATCTTAATACAATATATAACTTTGTAAAAAAACATAAGAATTGTTTAAAACGAAGTTAATTACGGGTCAAACAGGAACCCGCAGAGACTTGTCCCTATAAGACAAGCCTAGAGCAGCAGGATTTAGTAATAGTTGTTTGATTGAAATGATTTTCATTTCAATCAAACAACTATTACTAAATCTACTGAACGACCATTAAAAAAAATGGGTGAGTCTACATATGTGCATCATTAAAAAATAGTTTTTCATCATCATCATATCAGCCGTAGGTCGCCCACTGCTGAACATAGGCCTCCCCCATTGACTTCCACTTCGACCGGTCGTTAGCGGCCTGCATCCAACGCGTCCCTGCGATCTTGGCTAGGTGGTTCGTCCACCTTGTAGGAGGCCTTCCTACGCTGCGCTTGCCGTCACGTGGTCTCCACTCGAGAACATTTTTGCCCCAACGGCCATCGGTTCTTCGAGCTATGCGCCCTGCCCACTGCCACTTCAGCCTGCTGACTCGCTCTGCTATGTCGGTAACTCTAGTTCTTCTACGGATCTCCTCATTTCTGATTCGATCTCGTAGAGAAACCCCGAGCATTACTCTTTCCATAGCGCGCTGTGCGACCGCGAGTTTCCTTATGCGGCCCATAGTGAGAGACTACGTCTCGGCACCGCTGGTAGCACGCACTGGTTAAAGACTTTCGTCTTTAAGGACTGTGGTATTTTGGACGTAAAAACGCTGTGCAATTTCCCGAACGGAGCCCAGCCGAGCTGGATTCGTCGATTGACCTCCTTCTCGAAGTTGGATTTGCCTTGTTGGACCATTTGTCCCAGATAGACATAGCTATAAACAACTTCGAGTGGCGAGCCTTAGCTCAACTCGAACTTTCAACTCGAGCTCACAAATCGCTTCTCCATCTTGGAGGATTGCGTTCCTGTGGACGAAGTTAACAACAGGCTGGTAGAAACTGTCCACGAGGTAGGGAAAGCTTTTTTTTAGACCCCGCCGGAAAGATAGTACTCAAAGACGCTCAATGACGCTGCAGACTTCCGAGGACGCTGAAGCATATCGGCAGCTCAATAGACGGATTTATCAGTCCTTGCGACAGGATATCCGTAAATTTAATACTAATCGTATTAAAGATACGATAGAGCAGAAATAGTTTTTAATTGCATGCAAATAATTAATTACAATAAAATAATAAAAAAACTGAAAAAGGATATAAATAATAAAATTATGAAAGCGCCATCTACATTCTTTATTGAGAACTGTAACGGGCCAATGTGATTGAGAATATGGTGCTATCTAAAAAAATAAGGAGTTTAGCGCGCGCATCTTAAAATTTCATTCATCATTTTTTCATAACGCACCTAAAGAAGTCTAACTTCAAAAATTTACTTATGTGGTTAAATGATAATAATTTTTATAACGTGAAATATTTTTTTAAAAACTTATAAAAAACTCATATTGACACTAGCGATCTGCCCCAGCTTCGCACGGGTGCAATGTGTTATACATAAAAACTTTCCACTTGAATCACTCTATCTAGTAAGTAGTTTTAAAGATCTAAGCATGCATAGGGACAGAAAGACAGCAGGACGACTTTGTTATAAAGTACAAAATCCAACACTGCATCCGTGACAATACTAGTCATAGACAACAGTCATTTTTTTCTGTTCATTTGATCTTTTACGGCTTTGAATCTGTTAATTTTCAGCTGAATTATATAGGAATAAAAATATCGCTTTTGATACAATTTCGATATTCAATATTTTACATTGAGATATCGGCTAAAATATCGATATATTTAATAAAAAATATCTGTATTTTTTCCTGTATCAGACAACCCTAACCTTATTCGGTGACTGACGTGACGGTGATGGGCTGATGGGTGATGTTTTCGTGATTGATTGGTTGTTTCTTATTATACTGGATTTATGTTAGCTATTATTTAGGATTAGTTGTAATCTTTTCTAATTTAATCTAAATTTAATTTTTATTTATCATGCTAAAGATATTCTATTGTATTTGTTTGCTTTCTTTATACGGTAACTTAGCAAAAAAATATAACGACAACGACAAACCATCATGGGCAAAAAAAGATATAAGAGACTTTAGTGATGCTGATATGGAACGGTAATAATATAAATATTTTAAAGAGATGAATGTTTGAAGAGCAAACAAGAAACCAAGTGGCTCCTCTGGTTGCTACATTCAATACATATGCTATTCACCTGACAGGTTGCTGGAATATAACTTACCTTGTTACGTAGGCTAGTCACTCATATTTGTACATAAGGCTAGGATGTCGTAATTTTTATTGTAGATTGCTACTAATATAACAACGGTTGGGTATGACTTCCTATTGACGTCTGTAGAATTGAGGAGCGGGGTAGGAGGAGGGGTATTCATCGTCAATCGTTTTCGTGTTTTTTAATTTCAAGGAAATTTTCCTTATTTTATGAATTAAAATTCATAGTAAGTGTTAAAAATAAAAGGGTGTAACCCCTTCTCCTCCAAGGGGTTCCCCTAATCAGAAAAAATAGGGTTACTGGTTCAGAGGGATATCTGTATCTATTTTGAATCAGTCTTTGAGACTTTCTATCGCGGCACCCCCCCTCACCCCTCCCAGCTTTCTACCTATATGTGACCTAGGAAGGTCACTTATATAAAAAAGATTTTTGCCTTACTAATAGCTTTACTATAAATAATTCTACTTCACACCTCTTCCACATCTTCTCTGGTTGAGAAAGTGGATTAAACAATAGTAAAATCTTCAGTTACATTTATGTATGGACCAGGGGCTCATTTATATCATAAATTTATATTTAATACAATATTAATTTATATATCTTTCAGTCTGTTTGATCAATGGGAGGAAGATGAAGAACCCCTTCCAGAAGATGAATTACCAGAATATCTCCGTAAAAAACCATCAATAGACTTGACCAAAATGGATATGTCCAATCCTGAAGCTGTTCTTCAAGCAACTAAAAAAGGCCAAACTGTGATGATGTTTGTGTCTGTTGCTAATAAACCATCACGAGCTAGATCTGAAGAGCTTACAAAGATATGGCAAGCAAGTCTTTGGAGCAATCATATACAAGCTGAAAGGTTAGTTGATTTCCTGGACTGGTTGTACAGTACTTTTTACTTTAAAATATATTTGCAGATGCTATTTAATTTTTATACAACTCATATTAAATATTACCTTAAGCCTAATTAGTTAATTTATACAGCCTATTGACTAATTAAATTTTCAGATACCTTATTGATGATGACAGAGCCATATTTATGTTTAAAGATGGATCACAAGCTTGGACAGCAAAAGATTTTCTTTTAGAACAGGATGAGCTAAAAGAAGTGCAGTTAGAAAGTCAAACATATCCTGGAAAGAAACCAAATATAAAGAATAATGCTGTACGAGATGAATTATAAAATTTGGTTTGTCTCATTTTTTTACAAATTTTCCCTAAATCCTCATGGAAAGCATTTGGTGATGATGATACAAGTTCCCTGATTTTATTTCACCCAAAAATAGCTTAACGCGTCTAAAAAAGTATTCACTTCAAAAACCATTTAAATCACATACAGTTGTCCATATAAATGAACCCAGTACAATCAATTAAATAATATTTTGGAATATAAATGTTATGTACATCACTGATTCATGTTTTTTTACAGAGCTTGTTTTATATAGAAACATATGTCATTGCAATCTTGTCTTGCTATCTTCATCACTTTGTTGTAATAAACAACTCTGCATGAAATTTGTTGAATGTCCATTAAGAAATAATTTTAAGTATTAGCAGTCTAATAAACAAAACTTTCCCAACACATTGTAATTAAGTGTGAATAGATATAATTTTTTAAGTGCAGATATGTATCTTAATTTTTTTATAGAAGAATATAAACATATTTTTTTTTTACTTTGGAAGTATTTTATTTCAAAAATCTTGAAGCTTTTACTTTTATTAAATAAGGCCATTAAAATGCATCTGTAGCACGAAAATGTTCTTCATCAATTGTTGAATATATGTGACCTTCACCACACATCCACTCCAATATATTTCTGTGAAAGATGTTATTTAAGTAAGTATTATGTAATTAATGATAAATATAAATCATTAATGAATTATATATGTTTTATAGCTTGTTGATGCATATATTTCTTGAATATTTTAGCCGCAAGACAATCGAAATTCGGACAAAGGGGGGGCCCATGTTTTGCACTATTATGGAGAGTGCTAAACATGCACTTCATTGAAGGAAGACAAGGAAAAGTGCGTGTGAGAAGAGTTGTGACTCTCTGTGGTGGCATATGCAACACACATTCCATTAGATTTAATTGAATGAAAATCAGTGCTATTTTGACATTACGAGTTATTAGAACCAAGTTCAATAGACAATTATTGTTAGAATATAACCTCAAAGTGATGCGAATTCAATATATAAATCACGAAATAGAGAAAATAAGGGGAAGTGCCATGTGGGCATGACCCTCCGTTGACAACGTTGACGAAGTACAGTTAAGCGAAAGTGTCACTAATATAAGAAGGCAATATAAGTTCTGACCCGATTGGAGAGACATGCTATCACACATGTCCACCTGATCATAAATTATATTATTATTATGCCTATACCTATTATAATTCTGTATGTATGTAATATGTAATTTATGATTGCAAACTAACCAAAAGTAACTAACCTAATCCTAAATACAAATGCCATCTCAATCAATCAATCAAGATTTGTTCATCATATTATGTGGAAAATTCACTTCACAAATTTGAACAAGGCTCTAAACAGAGCAAAAAAAGCAAAATTTACCGAGGTGTAATTAAATATTGATAAATTCTATTTAAGTATACAACACATATGCGTAGAACAGAACCACAACAATTAAAAATACAAACTTTGTGTGAAGTATTGATAGGTTTATTGTTTTTAATTCCCGAGGGATAAGGATGTTTGTGAGTGCATTTTATGACATCTAGTGTAGTGTTCAAAACGAAAAATGTCACAAATACATTGTACGTCATTCATAAATAAAATCTTAATTTCCTACACTTCAAGGTGTATTTTCAATTAATAGCAATAATTAATATTTAAGTTTAAATATTGTGAATAGTTAATGCCTAAGATACATTTGTAGTTCAAAATATTGTGTGAGTTTGGCGACATATTCTGTGATATAAACACATTATATATACATATAAATTATAAAAATGAAATTTATTTGTATATAATGTTAAAAAACTTACTCAAATTCCATTTGTGACATCCTATCTTTCAGTGTAACAAACATGTCTTGTTTACTAATGCCTTGTTCAAGAGTAGATGCTCTAATCAAATTGAATACCATCATTTGACGAGGATTCAATCCATTAACTGATGAGTTATCATTCATTCCAACCATGGAGTTAGCTGGAAGCATTGCAGATGTAGGATTGACTTCCACTTTTTCCTTAAATGAATAATGTAAGTTTTAAACAAAATTCACCTATTTTTAAAGGTATAATTATATAAAATGAAAAGAAGCATTTTAATACCTTCTTTGAATTTGCTTCCATTTTCAATTTATTATTAATACACTGAAGATAATGAAATGTGATAGCATTGACGTCTGTTACAGGCATAATTTTAAATGCCATTAAAACTTTCTTACCCTTGTTAGTCTTAACATTACCATAAATTTGTACATAATCATTCACTTGCACTTTTGGGGTTGACTTATCCTGTAAGTTATTTTAAGTTTTAAGTCAAAGTAAACATTGGCCAGTACAGAATTAATGACTTTTGAAACGAAATAAGTAACCAAATAAAAAGTATGTATGTGTATATAATACAGGGTGGATTTTCTAAGTTTACATACATCAAGCTCTATGGTGTATTAAAAACTTTCATTTATCTTCATAGCCTTCATTTTTTTTTTCAAACTTTGTTTTTTTTGCTACTACTTTATTAGAAAACTTTATATATAAATTAAAATCATGAGACAGTAAAAAAAGCTTACATCTTCTTCCATTGCTTCCTGGTCAAGCCAGAACACAGCACGCATTCTTCCGGTAATATCTTGAATTGTGTATGTTATTTTTGTGCTTTGCATGCGGATATTTCGTACTCTGGCAACAATACATACAATCATAATCTCTGTTCCCCATATTGTGACATCACCATCACCAGAATGGAGTGCTTGTCTGATAACAATGGGTGCTGTCCTTGACGTTCTCCGACCCTAAAAATAACCTTTATATTTTAAAAATAACATGTATGAAGATTAATACTAATGGAATATGCTACTATAGGTGCCAAGTTGTCTATGGATGTGGTTCCTTATTATCCAGTAAAATTTTTCATAAGGTAATAAATATAATAAACTCTGGCTAAAATGTAGAGGTTCTGTCACTTTCTGAGCTCGTTAAGTGTGTAATGCAGTGTATTTTTCTGCATTCACAATGCAGATCTTGATAGTACCAAAATGAAGATTACGAACAAAGCTCAGAAGATTTGTAAGATGATGCGGTAATAGGTTGTCAGATCTATGAGTTATATGAGATACTCATAGATCTGACATCCAACAGATATATATAGACGAGATAAATATATAGTTATATAGAAGTCCCAAGAGGTTGCCTCGTGTTAGCTAACACAGAGTGTGACAACCTCACATGAGATGAATTTACAACCTGTGACAGTTGATGGATGTAAGGGACTCAGGATTGTGCTTCCTAGCAGTCTAAGTTTAGTCTAGCCTAGTCTTTATCCAGCAATGGACTAAAACAGGCAGGAATGATGATGATGGACAAAAATATATGCAATAGAAATGCTGAAGGTACTAGAAAATAAATCCAATTGATTTTCAGTTGACTGTAAAATTTTTCAAATTCAGCGTTTTATAATTTAAATACAAATTAATATCATAATCAAGGGCATTTTCATATCACTTCAATGAGCAAGCCTCTTATTATGTTCTTTAAACATAAACAACAATGTATCGCAGTAAAAAAAATATAGACTTACTGTTTTTTGCGCTTGGTTTGGGGTATTGGCAGCACCAAACTGGTTCGTTGAATTGAAAAATCCACCACCCACTACTGATTGATCTATAAAAGAATAGTTATTTTATTAGAGCAATATTATATCAGCACAAAAACCATGCAATCAATATAAATATAATTATTACCGTTCCACATCTTTTAAAAACTCAAAAAGATCTGTCTATTAAATTAAATGAATATTATACGTTTTTTTTTAATTCTAATCAATCTTTAATCCGGTTGATGCTTTCCTTGACATGACTAACCTAACCGTCTAACATCATAACGTCAATTTAAGTTTTAATTTTTTAAACTGACGGGAACTTTTTTTATTACTTTATAGTTTAATATCTTGTGATCACTTCATACAGACTATTTACCATTCATGGCAGGGATTTTATTACTTTCCTGACAAAAGTTAATGAAAGTGAAACAAACGGCAGATTAAGAAATGAGAAACGTTCCTGATAAGTTTGATTTGACAACTTCACTCGACTCAGCAGGAGAACAGTGAGAGCAGTAAGTGAGAGTGACTCTGAACTTAAGTCCGACCACTCCACTGCGTCTTCGCCCCGGAATAGAGAAAATAGTTTTTTTTTTCTTTTCTGTAGTCTACATGACCTTTGTTGATGAAATCAAATCAAATCATTTATACATCGAAATAAGAAATATACATTTTATTTATCGATAGTCATTTTTTAAAATCTACCACCGTTTCGTAATGACGTTCCTCTAACGGAGAAGAAACAGACGAAAGAAACTCCGTAGGTATCCTCTTTTTTGTAATTTTTTTTTCTCAAGCAATTATATTGTTATACAGTACATAATTTTTATATATAAACAGCTTAGGAGCGATCATCTCATTCCCAGGGGGGCATAATAACCCTTTTTAAAAAGTATTTAATAAATTTCTTAAACCTGTTAATAGATAGGCTTTGCACTTTAACTGTGATTTTGTTGTAGAAGCGTATACACTGCCCCATGAACGAGTTACTGACTCCATGGAGTCTAGTAACTGGCACAACAAGCTTGTGTTTGTTCCTAGTATTTACATTATGTACATCAGTATTACTTATTAAAATTGTTAATGTTTCAATGTACATACATTACATTTTCATATATATATATATATATATATGTTGAGAGGCCAAGGTTAAAATATTTATTTCTTTAAATTTCTCTCTCAGAGAAATAACTAAAATAAACGATTCTAGCTTTATTTACATCAGTCAGACATCTTATTTTCATTTGAGTTGCCAAAAGGATGGTTAAAGTCTTTGAATTGATCATTCGGATCATTAAGAAAATCATTCTGGGCAATTCAGAGAGTTAACCATCCCTTTGGCAACTAAAATTAAATTTGAAAAGCCATTTGACAGCTGATTAGTTGACATCTACGATGATCAGCGTTTCAGAAACCGGGCGTTAGTTTTATTGCCATTTAACAGTAAGTTATTAGCATTCAACCAATGAACTATTTCTGAGTCTGACATAGCATGATTTACCTCGACAAGTGTTACAATACGTCGCTTGATTTTAAAGATTAATGAAGTATCATCGGCAAACAACACTATGTCATGTTTTTTTCCTAAAAAGCCTTGGAAATATCACAAAAAAACACCCAGAGCATGCTGTGAATTTTCCCAAGCCTCAAATATATTCTTAATCAGTTCTACACCAGCATCGGTTGTAGAACAACCCCTTGTAAAAACTGATTTTTGAGTAATAATTTGTTTAAATTAAAATGTCTTAACAGCTGATCAAGAATAACTTTTTCGAAAATGTTACTAAGAGTCAGTAGAATAGAAATAGGTTAAATGTTAGTGGGGTCAGAAGAACTACCGCATTTAAATACAGGTATGACTTTACTGTGTTTCATCAAATCAGGAAATACGCCAGCTTCTTCACAATTGCTAAATATATTAGTTAAATCTAGCTGCTATAGAATCATCTGAGTTTATTGAAAATGTTACAGAAATTCAAGAAAATAATAATTTTCTACATGTTTTAATTTTAAAATAATAATTACTCATACCATCTAAATTTAGAACTACAAAGCGGCCAGAATTTTTAATGAGTTACTTTTTCTAGATTGGGTGAATCATATGCATATATAATACTAGCCGCTTGCAAGAATGATAATAAAATTTTAAAAATATTCATTTTAATGTTATTTATTAATAACCTTCTTACATTTAAAGAGAATGTAATCACTACGTTTACATTACGTTTTTGCTTACTTTTGTATGTAATTTTTGCATAAAACTTTTAGCTTGGTTAATCAAACCATATAACCGAATCGAACGATCTCTAAAGGTGAGTATAGACTACAAAATTTTCTTGAGCATTTCTGTGTAATGTAAAGTTCTTACGAATGGTACAATACACGCAAAAGCTCAGTTTCCAAAGCATTTCCATGTAATGTAACGTTCCGGCGAATGCTCGGCGTTATGTTTCGAGTAAATGCTCACAGCGAGTGTGCATTTACCAACATTTCGTTGTACCTTGCGTTCATTCTTTTTTGAAATGTCGGACTTACAAGTTCCGTGTGCTGCGTTTATCTTGATGAATTATATTAGAAGAAAAAAGAAAAATAGAAATCGCATCCGGCTCAACGAAATGTTACACCAATACGCTCGACGAAATGTTACACCAATATGCAATATGGTTTATAACAAAGAGGCGAGCGTGCTCGACGTTTAGTTCGGGAAAGAATGATACACTAGAACATAAATCATAGAGCGGCTCGTTGTTCTGTTACAAGTAAATGTTGTAGTCTATACTCACGTTAACAAAAATGAATTACGGAAACTATCATTCACACATTACACAATATACAATGAATTTATACAAAGAATTATATTATTACGAAAACAAATTATTCACAAAAACCATGTTTCATAATTAATTATGTAAGCGCGAACGTTCGTATGCAAACTATCAAATAACGATATTAACACGATGATAAAATTATCGTAATTAACCTTCAAAAACAACATGCCTGTAAAACACCATTAGGGAAATAGAACAGGACTAAAAAAAATAAAAAAAATTACAAAATATGTGTCGAAATAAGCGGAATACCAGAACGTAAATCAGAAGTTTTGTTTAATATAACGATATTAGCTATGACTTTGACCCATCTACTATCAAAGTACGGTACAGGCTCGACTCGCCATCTCCGTGAACAGTGACTAGCCATTCCAAAACGGGGGAGTTTCTTCCACACTCGTAGGCGATCTTGAACCGAAAGCGTGCCTAGCGAAATATTTTCACCCACGAACCTCCGCGTCCGCTGCCGCCGATCCACAATCCAATTGGGCATAATGCTGGACCTTCTACCGCCATGTAACAGGGAGTGCACATATTGTGCACATGGATGACGGCAGACTGCTTTATTTTTTTTAGCTTCTGTGTTGAAAGGGCGTCCTAAAGCGCCATCCTATAGGATGCAATTGCAACATACTGTGAGAGGGTTAAGAAGAACTCTCGGCGCAGTTCTCTTCATAAAGCTAATTTCGAAGAATATCGCTTAGAGCTCTATGTTAAACGCCTTAGAATAAAGAGCTGTTCGAAGACCTAACCAGTCAGTGAAGTAGCTATACCTCAAAATCCGAAATTTGCGGCTCGAGCGAAGCGGGTGTGGTAGAAAAGAGCGCTTCCACCGTCTCCACACATTTTTTTTACGTAAAAAGTAGCCAAATGAGCAGGCGGTTCACCTGATAAAATAAATATCGCCGCCCACCTTAAAAAAATGGACCCTAGTTACCCACTCGCCAGACGAAAGGCAAAAGTACAATACTTCCACTACACACCGGTGTTCTGTGAGGCTGCGGTTCTTCCCCGGACGAGCCTGCCCATTCGTGCAACAATAGGAACTCTGGCAGGATGGCGAATCTGTGTGAAAGCGTCCCTGTTGATCTGCTAATATGGGACGTACGTATAACATTGTGGGTTCTCGGCGGCTTAGTCGGTGCACTTTCGACAAATCTTATCAGAAAATATAAATGATCAAGGAAATTTCCAAGCCCCAGGGCGATTTAGCAAACGCTTGAAATAATTAAAATATTGTTTATTGATTAATGTTGAAAATTGTTTAAATGAAATTTAAATGAAACGGCTGGAGAATTACTGCACTCATCGAGTATATGCTAAAATCCATATTTATGATTAGGAGAATATATATTTGCTGGGTTGCCCATCAAAACGTGCCCACTAATATTTTTATTTAAATTATGGGTAATTGATTAATGCATATGTAAATTATTTAAATAATTTTCTAACTATATTTTATATTACAGTTTCACTTTAATATTAAAAATAGAAATAGCCGCTAGACAAATATGTAAAGATTTTTTATGGAAAATAAGCAGAAACTGGTGTTGCTCTATATCGTCCCGTAGATGACTTTTTTTCCCTGTAATCCACTTTTGGCAAGTCGACGTTTTTATTTTCCTTTCCTTTATTACTCCTTGAAGAGGTTGCACCTGATGTAACAGGATCTGAAATAAAAAAAAACATTTCCAGATTTTTTTATCATAAATATTTAAAGGGTTTATTTAACATTAGGTATAAAAATTTTATAACATATATATTTTTATTTGTTTAGTATTGGTGCCTTTATTGGGAAAATAAGAATCGGAAAAATTTTATTGATAAGAAAAATTCGAAAAACATAACCTTTAGCCTTCTTTGACAGATTATCTTCCATTGCAGGTTGTAAATATTTTGGATCTAAACCGTATTTACTAGATTCTTTTGGACTTTCAACTTTGGGACTTTCATCTAAACTTGACCTGAAAAGCAAAAATAAACCCTTATAAGAATTACATTACTTTAAACATGAAAAAATATTGAATTTATTTGAGTATTTGTCCAGTTTTTTATGTGTTGTGGTAGTGCCACACAGCATTGCACAAATGAGCAAGCTCATTCGGGAAAGTACCTACCACAACGTCACAGAAGGCTAGCATGTGTAAAAGTGTACTTCTGCGTTTCATCTGATGAGTGAAGTAACTGAGCCACTTCATTGAAAGGTGGCAAAGCACCTACAAAACTGTGAGTATTACATATTTCCATAGGCGGCGGTTATAACTTACCATTAGGTGAATCGCCAGCCCGCGTTCTCACATAAAAAAACATACATGGACTAGATTTATTTAAAACCATAAAGTAATATAACATACTAACGTCTTTGATGTTCCATAGAAATTTATAGTATCGTCCGATTCCTGTAATATATTTCCTTGTTTATGCTTTGATATAAAATACGGCGTCGAGCTACTGGATTGAATGCCAAAGTTTTGCTTATCAGCACTGGGAAGCTTATCTTCCATTTTTTTATGTAGCCATTGAATAACTGTTTTGAAATGTTTGTTAATCTTAGACTTGGTAATATAAAACTTACTTTCACCTACTTGAAAAATAACAGGAATCCGCGCCAAGCATATTGAAAGTGCATCCTTCAAATATCGCATGATTAATGACTGCATGATATTTAATTTTTTTTAAATATTTTACCAGTAATGGAAATAGCAAAAATAAAATTAAGTATTTCTTTTGTATAAATAACGAAAAAAAAACGCTGCTGGAGCTGGTGCGTAAGTCAATTGATTGTGCGTATATTATGCAGGCATTGGGGTATTAAAGCTTACCTAAAACAAACAAGCCTTAAACATTTACCTAAAATATGTAAGAAAAAAAATGTATGTCTATTTGTACTCTTTACGCCCAAAAGATTAAATACAAATTGTTGCGTTCTTTTACCTTAACTAAAGCGTTCAAATTATGCAAAATAGCTCTGAATCAATATCGTTTCACGACTCTCATCGATCGAAGAAACACTGTTAAAAAAACGTGATACAAAAGAGTTCAATTTTACGGTGCAACAAAAAGGAGGGTTATGATTTCAATACTGTGCACCGCAGCAGCATTCTATGTTGCATGATTCGAAATGGGTCCATTTTTCTCGATGTAAGATGGTAAAATTATTTTCATGAAATGTTTGCGCTGGTTTTGGATGGAATCCAATGATCTGCATTTCTGCAGTTTCTCATATATTTTACTATTTAAATGTGTGCGTGAGGTGTGTATGTGAGGCGGTGACCTGTTATTTTTCTAATCCGTGCTTACTTTATAGGGCATGCAAATATCTCAGTTCAATTTAGATACAAAGGTTAATCAGAGTCTCGGACTGGGGTCGACTAAGCTTAGTCCAATCCAACCCCAAAAAGACACAAGTAAATTTTCTTCTTAATATTAGTCGAAACACCTCATTCTGAGAACACTCCCTTGTTCGCCACAGCTAGTATCGGATCCTTTGGTTCTGCGTAGACATGTTGGACCACCTTACACCTTCTACCGCATTTATCACGGGGAGTGTTCCGAGGAATTGTTTGGATTTATCTCGGCCACTAAATTGCAGCAAACCAAAAATTCCATCCACACCACCTCTATGTCCAGCGTTCCTCAACAGCGCCATTTTCAAGGCCATGCCTCGCACAACCATTCTATGCAACGAGCTGTCGCCGGCGGTCATTTACGACCTGAGAACCTTCAAGAAGAGAGCCATCCGGTGATGCAGATGTTCATGGGCGGCGGTAATCACTTTCGATCAGGTGACCCTCCTGTCCGTTTGACACTTTTTCCATTAAAAAAAAGTTTTTTCATGACTACATTTCATAATGGTTATTTGCTTTAATAGACATCCAAACATTGACCTACCCATATTATTATTCTTAATAGTATCCTCACGGTCTTTCAGTGTTTGTTCCATAGTTTCATATTTTTCTTTCAAGTTGTCCAACTCATTTTTCATGGTTATCATAATTTGCTTTGTGGTATCAATTTCAGTTTTTAAGTCTTGTATTTCTTTCATATTACCTTCTATAACTTTTTCCTGCTCCAAAGCAATGGCAGTCCTACATAAAAGCTGTAATGAAATATATATTTTTTATCTTTCTTTTAAATAAAATGACATTAATTATTTTATTTCTTAATTTAAATAATATAATGATAAAACCTTCTCTTTTATTTCAATCAAATCACCATTTTGTTTGGATATAATTTGATTTGCTTTTATCAATTGCTCCGCTGTTGAATGGGCTGCTTCATTATTTTTATTTGCCAGAGATTCACTTAAGGATAACCTCTTTTCTAAATTATCCTGCATAAGTTTACAAAATTTTTAAGTACAAATTTTATATATATCACAAATTATTTCTAATGTATTTGTGTTTATTTTATTAAGTTACCTTATCCTTTTTTGTCATTTGAAGCGCTTCATTTAATTGTTTTATTGTTTCAACACTTTCCTTATTAACCTTGAATCAAGTTACAAGCATTAGATTTTTTATCATACAATATTTTAAATTAGTAATAAAATTTAGTATAAAGCGATTAATACATAACAATTAAGCTTACAATGTAAAATAAAAATGTTTTTTCTATTAACCTTTTCCAAAAAGACAGATTGTGACTGCATTAGACTTATCTGATTATCTTTTTCAGTAATTTCTTTTTCTAAAGTAACATTTTTTGCTTTGAAGGTAGCAACATCAATATGTGTCTTTTGTATTTCATTTTCTATAAAATTCAGACGCTGATTTCTCTCACTAAAACAATTTGTTTTTGCAAATAAAAAAAATTTGTGTTACTATGAAATTATTATTTTCAATTAATACATTTACATAGAGTAGTAAGTACTTTAACTCCAACTTATTATACTAGTATGATATTCTTTTTCATCACTTTATTTTTTAAATAACAATTAATAATAACAACATGTATTTTAAAATTTAAATACCTTAATTGATTTTCTAACTGCATAATGTTATCTTGAAGTTTTTTACAAAGCAAATTTAAATCATCTATTTGCTTATCCTTCCTATTTAAATTTTCCTGAGACGTGGCTAAAAGCGCTTTAGTATTCAACTCAGATGTTTTTTGCCATTGCATCTTTTCCTATAAATAAAAAAGAACAATGATTAATTCACATATGCCTAGATTTAGACACATAGTGGTGCTATGGTGTCTGAATGACGCTGCGATTATGACGGCCCAAGTACAAAATGAGTAATTTCAACACATTAGACCTCAGGGAGTTAGTGAGACATTAGGGGGACCTCATTTATCCAAAACTGTTCCTGTCTTTGCCCTGGAAGGAATTATACTGAAACATCAATGAGTATGTCTCACACCTACAATTTGCATAAAATAGTTTTAACCACTCTTTCGAAAATTGCTTTCATTATGAAATTTGACAAAACAAACATATTGTTCAATAGATTGATGATCGCACAAAGAAGTTCAGATATAGATTTATATGGGCAACTGCTGTGGAGGAGTAAAAAAACTTTTGAGGAGAAAATAAACAGAAGTTGAGCTTGCTTGGAGTCTGCAACTAAAACTAACCGAAACGTTAACGTCGCCAAGTCTTTACGATTTACATCTTCAGCCAGTGCCCTCTACCACCCTTCAATCTTAAAGTCTTTTATCTACATCCCACAGCGGCGACAATCCTTTCGTACTTTTTCTACAAATTTTAATGTTCAATCTTAAGTGCAGAGATTAGCACTATAAATTTTTTAATTTTTAACTTTAATTTAATTACCTGAACTGCTCTGTCTTTTTCTATTTTCAGGGATTCATAGAATTCCTTCTCACATCTCAATTTATCTTCTTCCATCTTGGACAGGGTAATCGTTAGCTCATGTATTTTTCCTTCCATTTTAAGCAGTTTATCATTTAAAACTTCTTCATTGCTGGCTGCTGCACTTTTTGCAGCTGCTAAATTTTTCTGCAGTAATAATTAATATAACATTAGCATCTAATAAATAAAACCTTTATTGAGTTAAGAAAAATTTTCAAATTGACAGCTGGATTACTTTTTCTTATGCTATTTTTGTCAATCCAATATTTAAGAATACTGCAAAAATGTTTGTATTCTTAGCATAAAATAAAGATAAATTTAAGTTATAGTTGGTTAACATTTTTTGACACCATTATTAACAGCAAGTTTGAATATTCCAACAGTTTGCAATACCTTACCATTTCATACCTTTAAATTGGATATAGTTTCAGACATATGTTGTTTTATTTCAGAATCTGTAGCTGGCCCTGTGCTCAAAGATAAATGAACTAATCGCTTAAATTCATTGTGTTCAACTATATCAAAGTTGAACTTTATGGGGTTTAACTGATGAATAATGAGAAACCTGAAAATTTTCATGCAAAATTATAGAACATGGTGTATGGCTCCTTAAAGAACATCTTAAAAGTTCAATGATAAATTTTTATTTTGTAAAATGCTTAATTGAAAAAAAAGATATAACTTTGCATTGACATCTGTCATCAGTGAGGGGTGGGAGGGGTGTGGGAGGTGGAGGAGGGTATTACCCGCCTGAAAAGAAAAAGATGGGACGGCTCTCCCTTTTCCAGGTTTTTGAATTTTTAATCTTGAGGAAATTTACCTCATTTGGTGAATAAAAGAAAATGGGACCTCCTTGGAGGAGAACTGGGTTCCTCTTTACAAAAGGGAGGAATCCCCTTCATCAGAAAAAAAAAAATAAACTAAAAAAAATGTTTTTCAGAGTTATGGTGTGTATTATTTTTGTGTTCAACATTATATAAAATTAATTGCAGCAATACTTAAATGCAGTATTATGGACTGTGATTTAAGGAAAAGTATTAATCAGAATAATATAACAGTTCACCATTCAAAACATTCAAATATGGCAAAATTTTCTGGTAGGAATTGATGTAAATATTTCAAAAATAATTGATTTTATATTTTTTTCCCTAAAAAATCAAATAATGTCTCCAAATGTTGAAACTTTGTGTGTGCTTATAATGTCATGCCATTTGATTAAGGAATGAAAGTTAAACAAAATAGGTTGAATAAAATAATTCTTTTGTAGATTAGTATTTATTTTAGTAACAGCAAAAAATGCAAAGAAATGTCTGGGTATTGTTTCCAAATATGTATATAAATCAGTTCTGTAGAAAAATATCAATCCCTAACTCAATAGATGTCCATGGAAAAAGGGCTTGGTATTTCTTTCCATTAGCTAATGGAAATTTTTACCAAGTCTGAAATGTTTTTATGGCTGAAAATAATAATGAAATGTAAACTTACATGTTATTAGATGCGCATTGCTGTAGTAATCTAACAATTTGAGAAGGAAAATTGTCGAAATCTATAAGAAGACCCTGTTGTTTCTTTAATTCATCATAATCACATCTTGTTATGCAAATCCGAAATAAAAACATTGGATCTTCGTCGTCTGACAATGTTAGTATCTACAACAAATTAAGGTATCTAATAAAAATAAATATACGACCAACGAAAAATTGTAGTAAGAAATCCTTACCAAAGTATCATTTTCAAATAACTTGTCAATTGATATAATGACGTCTTTCCGAAAATCTTCAAAACCACGTTTAAAAGTTACATAATACTTCCCTTTACAGAAGTTCTTTGACACCATTTTCATTTTTATTATATTCAAAAAGACAATTACAAAATACAGATTCGTTTTATTTGAATACCATCAATGACAACATACATTGAAATGAACATTTATACAAGACAAAACAAACAACACGTTCCCGAATAAATGTGAAACGTTCTCTACAGGTAGTAGCTACATTACTCAATTAAATAAACCAGAGTACTTTTTTATATCTGAAATAAACCTAAAACCATGTAATAATTGATGCAATTATTTTATTAATAAGACTCAATAATGATTACTGACTGACAGTCTTGACAGTAGTGTTGCCAACAATGCCAACCAAAGAGTACTTTTATATATCTGTAATGATGCCAACTACTAAAAAAATGGTCCTAAAATCAAGATAAAATAGCCATAGATAACCCTAAATGCAAATGTTCAAAAGCTCTAAGAAAGCCCTGTATTGTATTCAAAGACATTGAGTTTTACGTTTTGTTAAGGAAAATTAAATACACACTAGTAACTATCATTCCATTACAGTTTGTTAAATATACGATGATACGCGGGACATTGACATTAATAAATTAATGATTTTACGAAATAAATTACCACATTGTCTTACGTAAATTTTTTCTTTAAAAACCGCGTCCTTTATTTAACAGATAACTCAGTTGCCAAGGGTAATGGGATCTTGGGTTCGATTTCCACACAGGCAACTATTTGTGCAACACACAGATATTTGTTTCGCATCCGGATGTTTGTCTAAATGAAAAGTTTGTAAACGTTACAACAGAGGATAATGTTATCCTAAGGTGAGGGCAATGTTTATAAACAAAACAAAACCTAAAACCGAGGCCCTAAGCGTTTTTGGACCCTAAAAGAAGTCCAATATGCATTTTTCGCCCTCAATTTTGCAACTTTCTCTGTTCTATACGGCTGATAACATAACCGTCCCCTGGTCAACTTTACTGAATGAAATCTCGTCGAAAGTGGCATGCCATTCCGCGCGAAGTCCAACGTGATCTAACATGGTGGCTGGCTGTACTAACTGAAGTCGTTCCCCCAATTCACATAGCACCTTCCAATATCTTACAACGGATGCTTCAATCATCGCGTGGGGAGCACAGCTGAACAACTATTCAATAACAAGTTTTTGCACGCAAAGAAACCTTTGCAATAAAAAAAAAAGCTAGTGAAATTCCGATACAATACGACGGCATAATTGTGGTCGCTTATCTGCGTTGTAAATAGGGAACGAAATCTATTTCACCCATGAACATAACTCATATATTTTTTTCAAATTATAGACAAATATCCCATTCATCTGAATGTAAACCACTTGCCGGGAATTAACAATAATTAAGCACACAATTTGTTGACACTTTGTCATAATTCCGGATGGCATCAACGAACTGATGATGACGCACGAACATAGTGTTTGCAAAATGGGGAATCCTACAGATAGACTTGTTTGTATCGAAACAAATACACATAGTCTCGAATTACGTGCCGTCGAACTTGCAAGATTGCCAAGCTTTGTTCCACGCTGCGTTCTTTCGAGTATGGAACATCGCGCTCGCGTGGATTTTCCCGCAACTTTGCCCAAAACTCAGAGTGTTCCGAAATTTAAATCTGGCGAAGGGAGAGTACTGAGTTGAGCTTTTTTTAATTCACGATTCGAAGTCTCGACAAAGTTCAACGGTTTAATAAAAGGCGTTTCTTGGTAGATGCATTAACTTTTATAATAAAATAGGTGACATTCATAAACAACTAGGAATAAATAATTTCAAACAATGTGTAAAAGCTACCCTAGTAGCAAGGGGCTATTATAATGTCCAAGAATACATTGACGACAAGGATGTGTGGAAATGACTCTTGATCTGCACTTGCAAGACCCACTGGCCCCTGGCTGCTGATGATTTTATCATTTGCTGCTAATTTTATATTTTTACAATATAAGTAAATAATTTTGTATAATTCCATTACAAAAAAAAATTACAAAAAAAGAGAAGATATTTTTTGCCGGTTCTTATCTGTTCAGGTCAAGTTTAGTGAACCAGTGGTAGTTTTTTTTGACGTTCAATAAGAGCTTGCTTAGCCTATATTATGTAGCATAAAGTATATTATTATATAGTATAAAGATATTGCTTGTTAAGCCTATATTGTATAAAGATATTTTGACTTTCACTTTGAGCGAGCTTCTCACTGAGAGTGGCGGGATAGACTAAACGATTAGAAAGATACTCAACTATAACTATTGAAAAAGTCATGGCATCCCTCTACTCGAAGAACTTAAGAGGTTCCTTGGAAAAAATGGTTAGTTTGGTTTGAGAAGCACAATAAAAGCAATACGTTTCTAATTCACAGAGAGACAGTGACAGTAAAACGGGAAAACAATCCTCTAAGTGCCTATCAAGTAGAACAGGATAAAGTAAGCTTCGAACAAGGTAAACAAAGTAATCTTTTAATTGGTAGGAAGGGAACAATGCTAACAAACGAAGCGCACAAACGGTGTCCAATTGCGTCATTTCGTAAGTTCATATGATAATTTGTGTAAAAGTACCGCTCGCTCGTGTACTTATTGTAAACAAACTGTCAAGGTATGCGTGCTTAGGGATGCCTGCTCCAAATTATTAGCTTAAGTTTTCTCCGTTATTTAATAAGGAAAGTTATACGAAATAAGTTGAATAAAGTAATTATTTTGTAGATTAGTACTTTTACTTATTTTATTAACAACGGAAAATGCAATAAAATAACCATAGTAATTTTTAGATCTAAACCCATCTCTTTGTGTTTTTGATTTCGGAATAGGTTTCTCTTTGATTTTATTGTCTAGACTACGTTTATGTATATGTGGCGGATTAAAACAACCGCCGCGTCTAATTTAAATTTAGCGCGCAATAAGCTCGCGACTCGCGCTTTGCAATCGAGTCGCCTCCGATTGGTCGGCGACCGGGGACTTCCCTCTGCCTCCACACTCGCCGCTGAGAACACAACGGTCTACTTGCTTTGTTAACAATAACATTATTTTAAGGGTGAAAATATTGTGAACACATCTAAAGTTCTTCTGATGTAAATACAATTAATAGTGAGCACATTTGTGAGTTTTATTTAATGGCATTCCGCACATTTCATGCCATATTGGTGACACCGACGTGATCAGAAAACTTTTCGCCCTCGTGAAGTTTTTTTTTTCAAATTGTGAAAATCTAATCCAGAGAATACGTATACCGGAGAGGACATTTTCACGCTGGAGAAGCTATCGCACAGCTATACATCTGATTCTATGCACGGATCCCGCTGATGGAAAAGGATTGTTCCTGCGGACAAGCGGCGTGACACGGCTGTCATCTACTCCCTTGATGTCCATATCTCCCACCCTGGACGAGCTGGCCGGCCCTTGCAAGTACATGCCGGCCCTTGCCATGCGGTTGAGGTACCTATCTGGTCATCTGAGGTACGTTCCGGTAGCGGCACGGGCTACTTTCTTGCCCTGCCCGTTCTCCTTCTAACATTTTCACAGTGGTGAGTGAACACACACAGTGCTAACTAATTACAAACAATAACGGCTAACTTTCTAACACGTGTCAGTGTAATCCAGGACTTTTTACAAGCATTTTCCCTTTATAAACTTTCTGCGGTGAACGGTGAAGGAACTTTTTCTCTCATTTTCCCCAGACCTTGCCACATTTGAATGGACAATTAAAATTTTACTTTTATTTTCTTGGCTCTAGCACGTGATACTATGATATTTCTCATTTATTTTATTTTGTGTGTTATACTTTTATGTTTATAATTTTTGTTTATAACATATTTAACAATTTTTTTTTGGTTTTGGTGTTTTATAACAACTTTTGGACTAATATAACGGGACTAATATATAATATACTGTACAATAACTTTTATAACTAACCTACCTGTGCTAAATAGTAACTTTTAACTATTTTTAAATTACTTTCCATCTAACTCATTAACTGCCATTGGAAATTTTAATACTTGCATCGCTGGTCAGGAAATTATTAGAAATTTTAATTTAATTTTTCTTTGCATTTTTTTATTTGTATATGTTTTGTTTGTTTGACACCATTTGTCCTTGGGTATAATTGTATGTTTTTGTTCATTGTTTTCCAATATTTTACAAGTTGTATATTAGTAAATATTTAATTTTAATTTTATTCGGTTGGTTTTATAATGGAAATTTAATTTGTTGTTGAATTTTATGTGCACTATTTGACTATTATTTTGCAAGTTACCTTTTATTATAATATTGTTTAGTGCATTATTATAATTTTTTTAATAATGGAAGAGGAATTAAAGCAACAGATTGAAGAGCTTAAACGGCAGGTTGCTAGATTATGTGTCAACCAAGCAGGTAGTAACACCGAACAAAATGTAGGAGCAGTCAGTGTTTAAGTCTGTCTCCGTTTTGGCCCAACAAACCAGCAATTTGATTCGCACAGGCTGAGGCACAGTTCGAAGTCGCAGGCATTACCAAGGATGCAACCAAATATGGTCACATCCTTTCAAAGCTGGAACCTGATGTGGCTGACGAGGTGGAAGACGTCATTGCTCATCCTCCAGCAGATGACAAGTATGAAAACTTGAAAACCGAGTTGATCAAACGATTTTCAGTTTCCAGAGAGCAACACATTCGCCAACTTCTAGGCGAAGAGCAGATGGGCGACCGCAAGCCTTCTTCTTTTCTTCGTCACCTGCAGTCTTTGGCAGGAAAAGGAGACGATGGCATTGTACGCGAGTTGTGGATGCGTCACCTGCCCATTGACGTCCAGCGCATCCTGATGGCTCATCAGGACTTACCATTGAGCAAGCTTGCTGAGCTAGCTGACGGTACTGTTGACGTTGCCCCCGGTAAAAGCCTTTTAGTTAATTCTGCTTCTGCGGTTCCCACCCTACCCGACTTTAGCCAATTTACGAAACGCCTTGACGAACTGACACAGAAGGTCGACGCTTTGAGCAGAAGTCACGCAGGCTCTCGTTCGCGGAGCAGCTCACGCTCCCGGCCTCGTTCTGCA